CTCTCTGAGGTCTCCTTCTAAGGTCTCTCTCTGAGGTCTGCTTCTAAGGTCTCCTTCTAAGGTCTCTCGCTGAGGTCTGCTTCTAAGGTCTCTCTCTAAGGTCTCTTTCTGGTCTCTCTCTGAGGTCTCCTTCTAAGGTCTCTCTCTCGGGTCTCTCATGGTATCACATGTTGGTTTCACATTGTAAGTTAAATTACAAAAAATAACTTTTGAACTAACTTTCTGAGTTTCACCTGTATCAGTAAATTTACAACAATATTGTCTTTGTAAATCCAGATATGAAACATATAAGGATTGGCCAACTGGACGTCTGTCTGTTACGGCACAAAGCTAACATTGCGGAAGAAATGACCATATAAGGAAATTGGCTCCAGCTAGCTTATGTGCTTTAAGGCTATGGGTGACATCATCACTCAATCAGTCCACTCCTAATATACAGTGTATGTTTTGAAAGTGTCTTTGTAACGCTTTTAATTACATGTTATAATTATACAGGTATATATGAATATAAATGTTATGATTTGATGTTATGACAATTTTACAAATAATAGATCCTAACTTCTGACCCACACAGTCTCAAACTTTGTCATTGTTTAATAAGGATTGTCTCCATATTTATCTTAAACTTATTAGAATCTTGCCTTTAGAGTTGTAGCACTTTCTACTGTGTAAAAAAACAAACAAACCCATGTTTATTTAGCTGAGTTGACAGAGAAGACGTTGACTTTTGTGCTACTTCTGCCACGTGAGCCTTTTCCAGCTTTTTGACCTCAAAATATATTGATTGTTTGAATTTAGACAATCTTCTATTCTCTCTTTCTCCCTATTTTTAATCACAAATGTCTTTTTTCCAGCATATACGTCTGACGCATAGTCCAGAAGAATGCAAAACTGAATTTTAGGAAGATGAGATATATTCCCTTTCAAATCCCAAAGCACTGGGAAACATGAACTCCAAGAACGTTTACATCTGTGCGTATTTGTGTGTATTCACTTTTTTAATTCATTCATTTTTAATACTGCTTTTATTGGATACTAATGGAGAGTATCTTCTGAACAAAGTGAGTACAGTTAGGTTTGGATTGAAACAGAACTGGACCAAAGGTAAAAGAAAGGACAAGTTTATATTATATTTTGGATGCATTATTACTATTTGTGTTTTGTGTTTAATAAATGTAGTTGTTTTCCTGACAAAAATGAGGTATTACATGTTATAGCTGCAAATCGATCACATGGGAGGTTAAAGGTGATGTCTGCATTTTTTTATATATTTAAAACAGTTCCTCCCCTTTTAATATCAAGCACAGTGAGAGACGCACACCTCTCCTCGGCAGAGTAAGCTGGTGTCGTGCAGCGCATACACACACCGGCAGAGAGCGCAGAGGTGTGGCTGCTGCGGCCTCTGTGAAGTCTATGGAGAAGTGTAGAGGCCAGAACGGGACCAGAAGACTGATATACAGCAGCAAAAGTCAGATGTAGACGTTTGTCCTCATGGTCTCTGTGGCTGGTGTGGTCACACGCAAGACTTTATGAAAAAAAACAAAAAACAATGTCCAATATCTCTGTCAAAGGGCCGTAAGCATCAGCAGTAAAAGGGGAGGGGCCTCAGTTGTCAAGGAGGTCAATTTATTGCATCCAATCAGGGCCCTGTGGGGGCGGGTCTAACTGGTGCCAATACGTGTTTTAAATAATTTAAATATTGGTTGTGTATTCTCTGTAGACCTGTGTATAGTTACTTATTGATGTTTGCCTGATTATATTGTGAGTTGTGTAATGTGTGTGTCTGTGTGCTTGTGTGTGTGTAATGTGTGTGTACCAGAGTGAGGTCTGGGTGTGGCGCCTCCAGGGGCTTTCTTAGCAGTGGAAGTATCTTGTTTATCTTGTATCGCTCTCTTATTATTTTTCATTATCTTCTGAATGGGACAAAGCCGCACACATTCATTTGTGTAAACATGGCTTTGCACAAATGCATGTGTGGAGAAGCTAAACGCCACAACGAACGCACAATGTCCAGGATGAACTGTACTTTGTGCTGTACAACTGCCCCGGGGCAAACCCTGACCTTTGGATTCAACACTGGAGCTCCTTTCTACATCACTACATCAGGCGTGTAGCGAACAGTACTTTATATTTATGTAATTAACAAAGTACAAAGTACAAAGGCTCAACTCATGGATCTCCATCGAACATAAAACGACATAATCTCTCTCTGGTTTGTGGTCTCTTTCTAAACCCTCTCTGGTCTTGATCTCTCTCTGTCTTTGGTCTCTCTCTCGGGTCTCTCTCTCGGGTCTCTCTCTCGGGTCTCTCTCTCGGGTCTCTCTCTCGGGTCCCTCTCTCGGGTCTCTCTCTCGGGTCTCTCTCTCGGGTCTCTCTCTCGGGTCTCTCTCTCGGGTCTCTCTCTCGGGTCTCTCTCTCGGGTCTCTCTCTCGGGTCTCTCTCTCTCGGGTTTCTCTCTCTGGTTTTTCTTTCTGGTCTATTTCTAGCAGTCCCCCCTCTTGAAATCTCATTGGAACACATTCTGCAAACTGCATAACATTGATATTTTTCTGTTTCTGTAAAATATTGCCACACGATCGCCGTCATCTTTTTTGTTTCTTCTACGGAGGAAAGTGCACAGGCGCCCTCTACTGGTGTCTCTTTGCACGCCCCTACCATCTTGTCATTTTTATTTGCCGATGGAAGTTAACAAGGCAAACATCGGCTGATACCGAAAATCAGTCGATGCATTCCCATTTAGAATATTGTTGCTGATACTGGAAGTGTGTTGTATTTGCATCTGTTCTGTTCTCAATAAGAATAAGAAGCCAGTATGAAGCCAATATCCTGGTTGAACCCTAGATTGTTATGTATTATTATATTATTATGTTTACTGCAGATATTAACTCAGGTCATAGTTTTGTTTAGAGAGGCACCCATCTGAACATTGGTATCGGTCGGTGTTTTTCCTTCAGCAAATAAAAATGACATTGGCGACGGTAGGCGCTTGCAAAGAGATACCAGTAGAGGGCAGTAGAAGAAAATGGTGTCGGTCGTGTGGCAATATTTTACAGAACTAGAAAAAGATCAGCGTTTATCAGTTTGCACATGTTCAGTGAGATTCCAAGAGGGAGGACTGCTAGAAAATCATTTAACACAACGATTCTCAATGGACGTTTGAGAATCAGGCTTGAGGCGGTGTACAGCGATTGCATAAAGCTGAAGAAAAACGGAAAACTGAAGCCGCCAAGAAAGCGCAAACCCCCGGAAAGTAATTTGCTCAAACAAATTTGTTCTGTCGTTACTTCAAGCTGAAATACCTGTTACATAACACACATTTTGTGATAAGTCTGCTGCGATTTGAGAGAAAGAAATGCTGCTATCAGTCTCTCTTGTATCAGCAGATATTGAAAGCCAAAACAAGACATCGGAATCGTACATAAAATAAATGGCAGTGAAAATATTAAAAAATAAAAGGCCATTCTAGCTGTTTTTAATAAACGTGTATTCTATTTACATGCCTATCTTGCTATATCAGTACTATTCAGATTTATGCAGCTAAAATATGGAACAATCGTCCTAAAAATGTGAGACAGGCTTTTTCTCTGACAGCGTTAAGAAACAACTGAAGGATTCTTTACTCTTTAAATGAACTGTGATTATTTATGATATTAATGCTATAATGTTATATCCAGATCATTCTATTCTTACAATATTATTTTATTATTATTATTATTTTCAGATTGTTGCTCTATTGTTATTTTTATTGTGGAATACAATGCAAGCTACTGTGACAATTGTGGATCAATCAAGTCTGTCTAAGTCTAAGTCTTTGAGTGATCTTAATATTATTTTGTTCAGCCCTTTGAGTTGCCCTGTGTGTATGAACTGTGCTATACAAAAAAACTTGCCCATACCTTATCAGTTTCCATGATTTGATTTGCCACTGACGGCGGCGGTACGACTTTTCTCAATCCGTTTCTGTGCGTAGGAGCTTTGACATGGCTTATGGTCGACCATTACATAAGACTGGGTTATTGTACAGCTGTATGAATGTACGCCTGTTTGTGGAGTTACTTGTTAACATCGCAGCAGAACACGGTATAATTAACACACTTTTAGATATTTTTTTTTTTAATTCGATTTTTTTTAGCTGTGTCATGTGTTTTTAGATCCATCCATGCTAATATGAGATGCTAATATGACAAACGTCTGGCTCAAATCGTCACAAGCGAGTCCCTTTTCTCTAAATTCTCCACATTCAGTCTAATATGATAAATGCTCAGACTGGACAGAACTGGTTTAATAAAAAAAAAAAAAAAAAAAAAATCCTTGCATATTAGTTTAGAGAATGTCTTCAGTTGAATTACAATACAGGTGTGTGCCTTCATTACACTGCACCATGTTGGATTTTTGAACTAAAAGAGCTAATTGCAATGCCCTTGTTCAACCACTAGATGGCAGTGTTTCACAACTACGATCCTTGCTTTATCCCCTATACATTGCTCCTATATTACAGGCCCCTTTAGCCCCTAAAGACACATTTAAGAGGCATTTACAGCTACTTATCTCGGTATATTTTCTCGTATCTAGTAAATTCTACTTAAAGTGAATGTCAGTTACTTTTAAGACTGTGGAAAGAGTGAAATTTGTTTAAGACACACACTGGTTATAGTGGTTAGACACGCCAATGCTCAACCCAAAAGCTTCCTGATTGGTCGGAATCAATTAAAATCCTTTTGTCATTGGTTTAATTCTTCTCCTTCAGCAAATCTTACCGGTTGTAGTAAAATCAAAGGGTGGGACTATTTTCTATATGTATATACACTATTGCCAGAAATTACTTATTGCACATGATAGTACTGTGTCCCATGATCATAAGCAGACATTATTCTTTTAATCGAAATACAATTTAAGTTGCTGACATCACCTTTAAGTGATGTCAGCAATGAAACAACAATCACATTTTGATTGAATCTGAGTTCGCGCGACTCATCAATCACGTCCACTGCGGCCATTTATCACAATATCTTGTCAGCGGCACATGTGCAGCTGTGCCATTTCCCTAGCGAGCCGTCGTGCCTTCTGCCGAAACCTCTCTCCTCTTGCCCCTCTTGACACCGACACGCAGTCTGAAGGAATGAACTGGGTGTAACCCGGTTGAGCAAGATGGCCTCACTTCTGCAAATATGACACACACACACAATCTCACTCACATGAGCTGGGCCCTGGGTGGACTTCAGCCCTGGAAATACTGAGCTTTGTGATAAGTTGCTTTATAACTGGATGAGGTGGCCCTGCTGTGTGTGTGTGTGTGTGTATATATATTCATAAAACATGTGATACGCATTGATAGGCCCGGCTTATGTCACGCAGCAATAGAACCAGTCACTGCATCTCGTGACAAGGCCTATTGCGCATTCCAACCAGCGCTCTGAACCAGTCTCCCTGTACAATTATGTAAGAGAGGACTGCAACACTGTAACATGCACACCACTGACATTTCCCTCTTCAAACTATCCATTTCATCATTCATTACCCACCCCAGTTGTTTTTTTCAAACGCAGGAAATGCATAAAAAAGCCACACTTGGTTGAGGTATTTTAATGTACATGCGGTGGGGCCTGAATCATCTTCTATATACGTCACCAGATTTGAGAAAGCACTTGCTGTTCTTTAAACTTTTTGTCTGGGCTCGGGCCTATAACTAAAAGTCTTGTAATGTTTCTCAGAAGTAACTTTGCTGGTCACTTATCTTCCTGTTCGTACCTGTTCACACTGGCTTTTTCCAGCCCTCTGTTATTCAATACACAACCTATGCTCCCCTTTAACTTGCTTTAATCAGCAAGCTGCATCAATCTTTCCCACGTAACTCACTCTGAAGACATCTTAAAGAATTTGTATACTGCTTTTCATCTTGTTATGCAAATAAAACACATATTTTCCAAGGTTGGTCCAGTGGCCTGTCTTTCCAAGCACAAAAATGACCACTCATAGTTTTAACATTTACACTCAAAACGCTATTGCAGCTCTCCCACATGTTGCAGATTGATATAAGGACTTGGTTTTGCGTTTTGGGGGTGGTGATGTTGATGTACTTATACTGTCCTATGCATGTCATGGGCCTAGTTATGACACGTTTCTAGGCCTTGCAGGCAACCACAACTCTGTAAGCACTGCCACAAGTCGCACACGACGTAAAACGCAGAGAAATCCGAGGCTAGGGAAGAATATTTGGAGGCTATAGAGACTTGAGTAAAAGTAGCGTTAGGTTTGGGTTAGGTTATCGTTTTACCACTGGCATATAGGAAGTAGGTCACCCAGTCCACAAAGGCGAACGCACACTGGATAAGAGCATGCATACAGCGCGTAAATTCAGTATAAAAGCCATATATGGGCCCCACCTTGACCGCGGGGCTGGGTCGCTGCTCTTCGGGGCCACAGGATCCGGAGTTGAAGGAGCCTCGCCCACATCGCTTCTCCCCCCGGTGTCTCTCTCACTCACACACGGCTTCTTTTCTCGCCTCCTCGGGACCGGTGCGTGCGCGTAGTGGGGATGGCGTGGATGTGGGACTTTGGCACGGGTTGTCGCGGAGAGGGATCGCAGCTTCGCCAGGACTTCAGCCTTCAGTCTCTCTTTCTTTTTCTTTTTTTTTTACTCCAACTCTCTCCGCTCGCTCTCTTTTTACACTGGGCCCCCTCCCTCTCTCTGAGACACACACCCATCGGCCCCATGCACCAGCCACACACGCAGCACCGGCTCGATCAGCTGGCAGCGTCATGACGTCAAAGGGGCGGGTGACGACAGCGCGTTGCCGCTATGGGTGTGTGTTTTTTATCTCCTTTTTTTTTTTTTTTTTTTTTTTACAAGCATCGCTTTGCTGATGATGACTCAGTAGAATAGATGAATGAGTAAATAAATGATATGATAATGACGATTGAAATAACATCTTATTTAAATCTTGCATATGTTAAGATGTGTGTATGCATGCATTTACCTTTTTTACTCTTGCAACTTGCTGAAAGCAAATTCCTAGTATGTGACCTCCAGTTACTTAAAAAAAAAAAAAAAAAAAAGAATCTGATTCTGATTTGTTCATTTAGCTGTTATCTTACGCTGCAAATTTAGATTAAGATTTAGCAATATTTTCCCATGTCTAATTTATAGCCTCCTTCCCACTGTGCACATTTTAAACACAGGAATTTCGACCTTTTCCTTACACACTGAGCAACACAGGCTGGTGTGTCTAAACAACTCAGCATATGACCCGCCTCACAACCTAGTCTTTTCGCGGAGGCGTTTTCAGCGGGAACATTGCGACCAAACGTAGCTGTAATTCAGACAGCAGTAAAAGCAAACTGTTCTTTAGCCTGTTGCTAACACTGGTGAAAAATGTTATTTAAATCACCCAAGGGACAATATATTGCATAATGACAGTGTAACAAGCCAAGACAAGAGTGAAGTGTAGGTACCACCATGGTAATGCACACACTGCCTTTTCGCTTTTTTAAGTTGTACTTGTTAAAAAATACAGACAGGGTTCTCTCAGTGCACAGAACAATGACTTTAGAAGACTTCTTTTTTTAAATAAGTTTGTTTTGACCCTTTTATTTTGACACATTCACAGTGGTCAAAAGCTGACATGGATCCAAACAAGCTGCCAACCTTTCACACACCATTTCAACACGTGTCACAGTGGGAAAAAAGCCTTTCATTTTATACTTCAGCAATGAAATTTAATTACAAAGCGTGCTGTCATAATCTATAACCCAGGAAGTCAAATTAAAATTCAGTAAAAAATGTGATACAATTTTAAACATACAACATGCAAAATGCTAACAATATTTTAGATAAATGTATAGCAAAACTTGTCAAAAACACTGTAATAAATAAACTGTGGAGCATTCTCTGAATAAAACTACAGCTCAGAAGTCAAGTTTGTGGGACACATTTTTTTGTATTGGGTCTCTTTTTTTCTAAGCCAAAAGACAAGCTATGATACAGTATTTGGTATAGACTTCCATGGTTAGGGTTAGGATTTAAGGTTAGTGTTTTGGAAATATACCATAAAGAATCTGATCTGTGCTACTGACCTGACTTTCTGTCCAATTTCCTCTTGCCTCGGTCTAACTTCGTCACTATACCTTCCTCTTTTGTCTTTCTGTGACGCAGGCCTGTGTGATGTGCTCCTCCCTCGCTCCTTTCATCTTAAATCTCCTCTTGTCCCTCGAGTCGTGAAGGTAGAGTTGCTTCGTCATTCTCAGCTGACAAACCACAATCAGCTGTGTCTGTTCTTCACTCTGTCGTGCTGTTGTGTAGAAACATGTCTCTTCAATCATTTTTTACGAGTTCTTCTTCGAGATCAGGGAACTCAAAAGTATTTCTTACATATATACCACAGACGCTCTATGTAAACCTACTATTATCGCTGCTCCAGATGTAAAGATTGCGTAAGGAATGCTTATTGTTAAGAGTAAGGTTAAGATTAAGAGATTCTATATTTGTCTCATGGGGGGGAAATTTCAGTGTTGCGTCACCAGTAGGAATGAGGAGAATGAGGAGCACAATGTCTATAACTCTACGAAAAATACAAAAATAAACCCTAACTTTAGCAAAAAAAGAAGCAGGTATAGAATCTCTAGCTTTAGCATAACCAAGAAGCAAGTGTTAAATATCTGGCATTGGCATAACTTTTTATTTATTTTTATTTTAGCACAAAAAGACGTATACGTATAAAGTCTCCATCTTTAGCATATTAAATAGATTTTATGGTATGGTATTATAGTTTGTGAGCCTGTGATGTAACCCATGCTGAGGTTAGATAATCCATACAATTTATTTTGCTTTATCTGTTGTGTAGAGTAGCGGAGGCAGCACCAGGAGCAGAGACGTCCAGACTTCCCTAACCTTGCTTCCTTCATCCAGGGGAATCCCAAGGTGCAGGACAGCTGAGAGACATCTTCCCCGGGGGTTTCCCAGAGAGATGTTCCTGAGCCACCTCAGCTGTTCATCTCTACTCCATGCTCCTCTCGTGTGACAGAGCTCCTCATCCCATCTTTTGCTCTGTTTCCACCAGTCCTGTTTAACCGGTACCAGGTACTTTTAAGGTATCTGCTTGGCCCTGCTTTTACTCAACTGTTACTAAAGTGTTCTACCGTGTAGTAAAAATGCAACCAGATAGAGTTCAACCGAGAAGACCAGGGCCAAGTAGGGCTGGTGGAAACAGAGATCACTTTTATCACATTTATACCATTTGTAACATAATATTTCATTCTTTCCCCAAAGCTCGTGACCATAGGTGTGTGTGGTGTTACGGCTCTTGAGCACCACACCCCTACCTTCATGTGTGTCTCCTTCTTTGTGTATGTATTTGTGTCTGAATTGTCTTCGGTGTGTGGCCTGAACTTTGGCCCGCCTCCCGGACACTGCCATTCGTGTGGAGGCCTCCCGTCTGGCCAATGAGATCTCCTCATGGTCCAACCAATGCCACCAGTTGATGAGACGCAGCTGTGTGAGGTACGGACGGGGCGGCTTACTATCAGTGCAAGTGTGCCTTTTGTAGAAGACATACATGTTTTGTGAAACGATCAGGAATTTGATAACTTTTGACGTATTTCCAAAACCTTTCTAGCTAAACTCATTTTGTTACCTCTTGTTGTTGTATTTAAGTTTTTTTAATACCATTATACCTTTGTCTTTTCTACCTATTACAGTAAAAGCCATTCACATTCCTTTCCCTTTTGGGGTTGTAACAGGTGGTGACATAGATTGAGCAGTAAGAGGTTTTGACACTGCTCCCTCTTCACTACAACAGTCTGATACAGCGACCGCATCACTGCACACCCTGCACCGATCCGTCTGTCAATCTCACGTTCCATCCTTCCCTCGCTCGTGAACCGGACCCAGAGAGACTTAAACTACTCCACTGAAGAACCAGTCTTGGAGAGGGCAAGGCTGCTTCACTCACCTGCAGACCATCCCATGAGTGCATGTTGGAGGCCATGGTTTGATGAAGCCAACAGGTCAACAATATCCACAAACCATAGAGACAAAATGGCTGCTGTCAGAAATTAAATCAATAAAAACAGTGGACATCACTGGTGACAAAGGGCAGCCCTGAGGGTGGCCAACAATAACCGCAAACCATAGAGAAAAAAAACTGGCTGCTATTAGAAATTAAATCCATAAAAACAGTGAACATTGCCGGGGACAAAGGGCAGCCCTGAGGAACACCGACATGCTATGACGATTCAACTCGGAGAGAACTGAGAAGTGATGATCCACGATAATAAAATCCCCTCATATTTCCATAATATTATTAGAGACAAGAATAGAAACAAGACCTATTTGTCTGCGGTTGTTGTATGACCCTGTGTTTCCATGGAGATGATAATCAGCTGCTGAAATGTCAAACTGTCATTTCACGGAGAGACAGCTGATGTAGATTTGGTGTCCTTTCTCTGACAACTTTCATCACGTTAACATTTTGCGCCAATCGTGTCGAATGCCAAGAAGTTTAGTGTGCATAATCAGAGGACCAACCAGGTTAACATTTAGCTCTGGTTTGGTATAGTTTAATCAAAGACATTGGCGGAAATATCCTAAAACAATAAGCATGTTTGTTATTAATTCAGTTTTTTCCATGAGGTCCCTAAAGGTTTTCAGAATATTTCTAAAAAAGAGCCGCATGTTACTGGTCTCAAGGCTCCAAGAGGTCTCGAGCGAGAGGGAGCCTTTTTGGAGTTTGCATGTTCTCCCCATGTCTGCATGTCCTTGTTTCTACAACAGAGATCATTCACAATACACTCCTCTCCTCTGAGGCCCTGAAAAAAGAAAATCTGAAGAAAAATGCTTACAATCTGGCTCCTTGCCGATGGTGGTGTACCGAGTGTAGGAGGGTCCCAGCTCAAAAATGTCCAAAATCACGTGCGCTGACATGCTTGCAATACCACCCCGGGTCAGTGGGGGTGATCTTCTTACTTTCCGAAAACGTCTTTACAGGGTGGTCCAAAAGTCGCTCTTGGCCCAAAGCTACGTTCCAGATGCTGTCCAGTGCTGAGGGGAGTATATTTTGTTTGGACCAGTCTAGTTTAGTCGCTGTGAAATTTTTAAGGCACTCGTCAAATGAATGGGGATCGTGTAGCTGACGTATGCGCAGATGCGTTTTTTCACATTTTCCAGCCCCTGCGGCCATTTTGAAACTGCACATTGGTTTGAACGGTGGAGATAGGCATGACTACGTCCGTTAATATTTACAGTTTATGAGTGTATACCCAGAAACAGAATTATCCAATGAGTTCTTGGCGCCTCTTTTCCTCTCAAAAACGGTTTAACACCTGGTCCAAAAGTCAAGTTCCAGATGCGTGTCAATGCTGAGGAGAGTTTTTTTTTTTGGACCCGGCTAGTTGAACCATAGGCAAAAGATTACATGGTGTCGTGGTTCAGGTTTATTTCCCGTTTCATTTAGTAATTTATTTGTACTTCCTGTTTCCTGCCCCGCCCTCATGTGTATCACCTTTGTCTGCGTTTCGGGCTCATTTCGTTTTACCCTCATGACACATGGTTCATAATAAGCACAGCATGTTGTGTATTGACTTGTTCACATTACCTTTTATACTTTTTCTCTTGGATTAAATAACATAAAAGTCACGTAGCATAGCTTATAGATATTTTTTTGGTACTTTTAACTTCCACTTGAGAATCTTTTGCCCCACACAGCTGGACTTTGCGTTTAATCCTTCATTGTTGCATTTCGATTGATCTTGATTGAGTTGTGTTTCGACCCAAACTTTCCAGCCGTTTTCATTTCTTCTTCTTTGGTCTTACAGTAGTTTGTCAGGTAATTCCTGTGGCTAAGAGTTCTAGTTGATTCTTCCTGTGTCTTTACGGGTAGAGCAGACGGAAACTCACTCAGCCAACAGGTTTATTTTTAGTATCAACACGGCCTTCTCAGATTCAACCATGACTCAAAAGTTTGCAATGACTGTAAAGCTTAATTAGTGCTAATAAAAATGTTGTTGTTGTCGTCCCGAGCCTCAACACATGTTTGTGGTTTCAGACAATTGTAGGAAATAGCAGGTTCGAGTAAACAACGGCCCTGAAGATTAATACAATCAATCACATCATATTTATAAAGCACTAACACATATTAGATTACCAGTTAATTTATAAAGCCCTACACACACACACACACACACACACAAGCTATATGTCTGAACATTCAATGTGTTGTAAAAATCCAGGACAGAAAACATCAGAATACATCATGTGAGGACATTGCTCAGGATCGTGATGCAGATGTTCGTCCTCTGGTTTGTGACGACTGAAGCCACAGTTATGATTATCTTTTGTTACTTTCACATCTGTCATCATAGAATAAGTTATATGTACCTTTTTTTTTTTTTTTAAATGTAGTGTGTGTTCAGTGTGGGAGACCTGCTTTATGGGACTCTTTCACATTTGCAAACATTTGAAAACTAAACATATATAGGAGGATTTTCTACTTCCGGGTGGATCATCGAGCCTCTTGGTCCTCCTAATTGTCAATCATTCTGGTGAATGATAGTGCTCGTCAAACAAGACTTCAAAAAGTGGAGACGGTGGTACTTTCATAGAATTTGGGAATTCCTCCTATACACCCTTAACATCCTTGAAATAGGGCTTTGTGCTTGTAGCCTTTAAGAAACCTATGGCTTCAGCTCCTATAGAGCTGTATGTTGGAAGCAGAGGCGGCTGGATTCCTTGGGACAGGAATAGGATGGAAACTCCCCGGGAAATACCATGTACAGAGTGAGACTGTGTCAGAGGTGAGGTATGAGGCCAACAGCAGGAAACACACTTGTGTGTGTTTGTTCATGGATCCTCAAGGATAATAGGACAAAGTGTCTCAGAGTCTCCCACGTCTGATTTATGTGGGCTTCATTTATTATCAGACCATTTACAAATGCTAACAGTGATCCATATTTAATGTATTTAGGACTAAAATCCTCCATTGGTTGTAACACTGTAGTCTAACTTTCACCACTAGAGAGCGCACACACTGTACTGCAGTGTGACCCCGTAAAACACTTCAACTTGTCTATATTTATGAAGTACCTACTTACGTATGGCCAGAGCCAGTACGTCATGTGATTTCATAACACAACATACACGCTGACCTTGTGTTCAAAGCAGAGTTATACTTTAGGCCAAGGTTTACGTGGTTTAAAACTTTAAGAAAACACACACTTTAAGTTTGACACCCAACTATTTTTCCACATGAGTGTGTTCTTGGCCTCTGTCATATATCTAGATAAGCTTGACAAAAAACTGAAAGAGAGACGCACTCTCACTCAGCCAATCAGCTCTCAGCCCTGAGGTGAACTAGTGACTTATGCCTTTCTTACGCGTATGCAAAATATTAATATGTTTTAACAAGAGGAAACATGTTCTGATTTGTTCAAAAATGTTACTATTTCCAAGACTATGTGGAAAAAGTTGAACTAAATTATGAAAGAACTCAATTGTAAAGACAGCGAAGATATGAACGTGATGTTTTTAAGAATTCGGAAGTAAAGTGGTCCAGCTCTCAGGTCTCCATGGGGAGGCTGCATTTCAGATTTATGCAGCTAAAATCTGGAACAATCTTCCTGAAAATGAGAGACAGGCACCTCTGCTGTAAATTTAAGGACATTTATTAACATAATGGTCATCCTGCTCCCTATGGACCAATGGCTCCTTTGTGTTTGTTATAGTTGCTTTATTTCCTGAGTCCTAACTGATTTATTCTCTGATCTGTTGTTGAGGAATCAGTAACTTTGTAAAATCCTTTGAGACGACAGCAGACTCAGGGCCAAACAAGAATAAAATCATTTCGAGTGAATGTAAAAAAACAGGTTAAAGGTATATAGGAGGATTGTCTACTTCTGGGTGGATCTTCAAGACTATTGGTCCTCGCAATTGTCAATCATTCTGGTGATAATAATAATAATAATGCATCAGTTTTATATAGCGCTATTTTGGACACTCATTATTCTTTCACTCCAAACACGGTGGTGATAAACTACTACTGTAGTCACAGCTGCCCTGGGGCACACTGACAGAGTGATACGGTGCAAATACACAAATAAGAGAGTTGTGTTCTAAAACTGGAGAGCCCTAACCCTAACCTTTCCTAAAGTTTGGGGAAATCCTCCTGCATAACTTTGTTAACAGTTCTTTTTAGCTGCATACAACTGAAGGATTTATATCTTCACTATTTGTCTTACATTGTGATTACTAAGGATTTAAATCGTTTCTGTCTTGTCTTGTTAAACCCCTCAAGTTGCCTTGTGTATGAACTGTGCTATACAAATAATCATGCCTTGCCTTGCCTTTAAAAACGCACACTCCGCCTTCTCCCCCTTTTCTTTTCTCCTGGTTGTTTTGGAGACGCGTAACCGGGCAACGCAGCGCAGAAACGTGATTGTGGGACTGCCCCAAGTGCGCAGCGGCTGCACGTTTCATTTGCGCAAAAATCCACCACACAGCGACAACAGACGAGCTGCGTGTGCGCCGTCCTCACGCTCCAGCCACACGAGCGCGTTATGACGTCGTCTTTAACGCCAGTATCTCTCTGATGCGTGAGAGAGAGTTTGAGTATAGAGCATGGGAGATGACCACAGCTGCAAACCACCGCCTCCAACTCACAAGAAGAAGAAAAAGAAAAAGAAGAGCCGAAAATCTGACTCAACGTCACCGAAAGACGCAGGTGAGTTACTTTGGTGTTTGTCTTTTCAGTTCTGTCTTCTCTATTTGTTTTGTGTTTGTCTAAAGTGGAGGACGGAGGAAGGAGTTGAGCTGGGTTGTAGAGGAGGTGGGTCCAACCTCAGGCCCACGGGCTAATTGCGGCCCTCCGTGTTGTTTTATGTGGTCCTCTGCCTCAAAATAGACATTTAAATATAGTCTTTGAGATCATAAACACAAGGTCACAGTGTCATCCAGCCAACTTAGGCAATGTATAAGACCTTGTTGTGAAGCTAAGGGTGTATTCAGACCTGAAAAGTCCTTTGCTCCGCTTGCTT